AAATACCACAAGCAGATTTTAAAGTGCACTATCCATCTGTGGAACATTTAAAATTAATTTGGAACAGCTTTTTCACATAAGATCAGAAACCATTGAGCTAAATGTAATTTAAAACCATGTGAATGTATACAAAGCATATATAGTATACATTTTTAAACATCACATCAACTTCTCCCTTGGATATATGGCTGAGGAGGAAGATATCTAATAATTTTTATGCAATTTTCTTTCTGGTAGAGAAGCTCTAACTGCTCCTTCATTGGTTTGTTTTCATTTTTTTAAGTAGCAAAGTATTTCCATCTCACCATAAAGAATGAAAAAAGAATTTTAAAACCCTGATTATTAAAGCTAGAAATGTTTTTTCCAGAACTTATAAATAGAAGGATGTAATAGTCAGAGGTAGGAAAGCTTCAGTTACATATATCAAAAAGAAATTTACAATGATGTGTTGTGTTTTAACTCCAGTGTTATACTTTAGTTCCACACAGACGGGAGGACTAAGCTGGTTTACATGAGTATCTAGAGCTTATGGCTGATCTCATAAGCCTGTCTTGCCATGTGGATTTCTGCTTTTTTTCTGTTCTGCCATAAGGGAAATAATTTTCTGGGGATTTATCTGTACATAAGGAAATACTCTGAATTCTACACAAAACATTCTTTTATTTATGAATCAACAAGATTCTCATAGCTGTCATTTCACAGAATGATGCTATAGATTGTCTCCAAAGATTGTTCATCTGTCCCAGAAGCAACTGCTTTGATAATCATGAGCTGCATTTAAGATTTTTGATAATTCAACTGTTCTCTTGAAAGCACGAGGTAGCACATAGTCTTTCTTCATTTTAGTTCCATATCAATAATCTAGAGGGAAAGTTGGCTGAAAGAGAATGAGTGAAAGTCACTTAGAGGAAATGGAAGATTACTTGCATTCTCCTAAAACATGGGTGACAAACTCAATCATGTCACATGACGTATTGTGATGTATCATGAATTTTTTGCCTTTGCAGAGCCAGGGTGGGCGTGGTCTGTATGTGACGCATTCAGCCCGCAGGCTGCATGTTTGACATCCCAGCCCTAAAATAAGTGATTGCCTGAACCTTCCCTTATAAAGAAGCGAACAAAAATCTAAGTGAACCTGGAAGGTGAGGGAGATGTAATAACTAGGCTAAGTTACGTGTGCCTCGGCATATAGTCATGACCACAGAAATGTCTTTAGACAATGCTGACTCCCTCAGCTAACAAATGGAGAGGAGTATCATCCCCTAGAGCAGTGGTTCTCAACCTTTTTAATGCCGCGACCCCCAACCGGTCGTAAGTCGAGGACTACTCAACCGGTCGTAAGTCGAGGACTACTCAACTGGTGCAGCACCGTTTGCAGAATGGGACTTTTGGCGGGCTCAGCAGGGCAGAGACAGCCTGGACAATTCCTATTGGCTTTTGAAAGCCAATAGAATTAGACTCTATTCAAGAGAGTCTATTCTATTGGCTTTCAAAAGCCAATAGAATAAAAGGGAGTAGCACAGCTAAGGAAAAGGGGGAAAAATGGCGGACTGAGTTGTTTGGCGACCCCCGTGAAATGGTCGTTCGACCCCAAATGGGGTCCCAACCCACAGGTTGAGAACCACTGCCCTAGAGTCAAACATGACTGGACAGGGAAAACCTTTACCTTTAGGCTAAGTAAAAAGGAAGAAGAGATCATCAGGTATATCAGGAGTATCTTCAGCCTATAGTCAAAAAAGTCAAGATGGTGGCTGTTTTTTTCATGTGTTGTGTATACATAGGTTTGATTGTACATTGTAGCCGCTATCTTGACTTTTTTCATTATATTATGTGAATACCTCCAGTGTACATGGAGAAGAGATCCTTGTAAAAGTCCACTGACTTTCATCCTTCTCAATGGAAACGGCTTGTATCCTATCATTTCTATACATATAATATTATTAAACTAAATTTTAATTATTTGCTAATCAATTGCTCCACTGACTAAATGAGATAACACAATATTTCACACTAGTTCCATTAGTTTTCATGTGTTTCACACAACAGGAAGCTGTGCCATCAATTTTCAGCAATTGTGTTCAGAGCAATAAAAATCATTTTTTTCTAAGAAAAAAAAGGGAGAAATACGATGAGAAACAATCATCTGGAGAACTCACAAAGTTGTAAATAATGTTGGGCAATGTATCAATCAATTTTTATTATGGTCTCAGACCAGCATTAAAAACAATAATAATAAACATAAAAATAAAAGACAGACATAATAATATATTACAACTGGTGGTGGATTATGAGTGGGCCATTAGTTGTGCAATGTATATATATGAATGTGAGTTTGTCTTATTCCTGAAATTCAAGGCAAATAAAACAATCTGAAACATTTTAAAATGAAACCAATATGCATGGAAAAATATGATGATGAAGAAAGTTGTATACAAAGACATAATAGTTCATTATGCTTACCATTGTATAGTTGGAAAGCTATCGTATTTATAAAATTGCAGCTGCTTTCTATGGCACAAAATAAAGCTCATTGAGTCTTATTTTGTGCCTGAGTAAAGACAGGAGGTTGAGCAACTGGCCCTGTCGTGCAGCTGTAACAATCTGGAGCTGAACATGCTTAAAACTGTAAAGATGAGGATGGATTTTAGGAGGAGCCTTTCTATTTTACCACCTCTGATTATATTCAACAGCATGGTATCAGCAGTAGAGTCTTTCATGTTTTTGAGTTTTATAATCTCCCAGGAGTTGAAATGGACACTCAATATTAGAACCATCATTTAAAAGGCACAACAAAGAATGTTCTTCCTACATCATCTCAGGAAGTTCAGACTGACCCAGGAGCTGTTGATACAATTTTGTCGAGGAATTATGAGTCTGTCATTTGTACTTCTATAACTGTCTGGCTTGATGCAGCAACCAAACAGGATAGGTACAGACTCCAGCGAATAGTTAGGACTGCAGAAATAACAGCTGCAACTAGCTTGCCTTCCATAGAAGACCTGTATTTTAGGTGGATCAGAAGGCGGTCCCTGGACATAAACTGTTTCCATTCCTTCCCTCAGGATGGCGTTTTAGGGCATTGTGTTCCAAAACAACTAGACTCAGGGACAGTTTTTTCCTTTGTGCCACACCTAATTTTCTCAATGCTGCCTAATGTCTATTAACCCATATATAGTGTGACTGTAGTATTATTATTTATCCTTATTATCTTCTTTACCCCCCATTTTATTGTTGTTGCTCTTGTTATTATTATGTTGCTTTCATGTGCATTGAGTGCTTCTGTACCAGAGACAAATTCCCTATGTGTCTAATCACATTTGGCAAAATAAAGTATTCAATTCAATTCCCTAGAACAGACATGTCAAACTTGTGACGTCACATGACGTCGTGTGACATATCGGAACTTTTTCCCCATTGCCAGCAATGGGGTGGGCGCGGTTTCATCATGACGCGTCCGGTCCGCGGGCCAGCAGTTTGATACCCCTGCCCTAGAATGGATCAATTTTAAGACCTTATGAAAAATGAAATGAGATGACATGAGTTATATTTTGCTGGATGCAATATATTACATGAAACATGTTAACACATAGATTCTTTTTCTAAAATTATATTTTGCAAATAGTAACACATTTACTTAGATGAACTAAAGTAATTATACTTTGTACTTGAAGTCTGCCCTGCTGAACATAGTGGAAATCATTTTGAAATAAACTGTATATAACTTTAATTACAAACTTTAACTGAATGTATTTTGAAAATTATTGTGAAGAATTGCTTCAGACTTTGACAAACACAACCATTCTCTGTGGTTTATTAAAATACCTATGTCTTCCCTGCCCTTCAAGCTTTTCTGAAAGAGCCTTAAAAATCTGATTTAATTAATCAGTTAAAGTCTTGTATTTTTAATAGTTTATTTATAATATTTATATCCTGCCTTCAAGTGTCATGGACATCATATTACATTTGCTTCTACTATTTTCTCCACAGCAACAATCTTGGGAGGCAGATTAAGCTGAGGAAGGGAAACTTGTCCAAAGTACCCAATGTGCTTCTATGGTGAAGGTGAAAACTAGAATCTTGGTTTCCCTCTCTTGTACGGAGCAACGCTGTTTGAGATAATTGTTGAGATTGTTGAGATTTTAAAGAGATGAAACATTTGCCTCTATACGAAGACCTTTTCCTATGGTGGGTATATAAACATCCGGAGGAAGCTTCATTTCAAGTAACTGTTCACAGATGTCATGATCAAAATAGGGTCTTCAGTAAACAATTAATCAGATTAATTTCTAGACTCAGAATCTACAGTTATAGCATTTTACTGGCTTCTCATACTCTGGTTAGAGATCACTATCAACAATCCACGTTTTTCCAAATAATGTAATATTAGTTTATGGTAACATGTATATGGTTCAGCTCAACCAGATACATGTCTACCATATAGACATTTATTTTAAAGAGGGGGAAGAGATTACAGGTAATCCTCAACTTACAACAGTTCACTTAGTGACCATTTGAAGTTGCAGCAGCACTGAAAAAAGTGACTTACATTTATTGCATGTATAGTAAGGCTTCAGAGAGTCCTCAATGTACTTTGGAGAACTAGTATTTTTAGATTCCTATGATTAAGTATTCTTTAAAGGATAAATCATATATACATTTAGTATTTATTTCATAAAATATTTTTGGCAACTCAAACTTGGTATTTTGATTGATACCTTATTTTTAAGTGCAAAAAATATAAATACTTTATTATTTGGTAGAACTGTAAATTAAAGAACTGAATATTAATAAAGCAATGGGTAAATATGTAGGAGTATTGAGTATGTTCCTTGTGATCTTAAAATGATACCAAATCTGCCAAGCATTAGTTTTCACTTTTACTGGATATCCCAGAGGACTTTAAAAGCAGTATGCTGTTAAACTCATTATGTAGCAAGTGTAAAATAGAAGAGAAAACATTTACTCAAATGACATCGCCTTTTTTTTCTATTGCCCCATTTCAATTTAATATCTCTAAGTTTGTTAATATGGTATTATAAGATTAGTAAGGTTTAAAGATATGAATGTATTTTAGTTACATATCAAAAATGTTTATTGATAATGGAATAATTATAAGTGGAGATGAGAATGGAGAGGGGGTGGCAAAAAAAAACATTTTTAAACTTTTTGATTATTGACATGGGTTCCCTTCCTACTTATTAACTATTTCTGCAGTGGAAAGATAAGCAACATTGTTCTACGTGTCAAGATCTAATGATGTGATTAAAAACTAGACTACGGCTACACTAGTAGTCTTCGACTTATGACCATAATGGAAACTGCCCATCACAATTTTAAATCATGATGGTCAAGATTTTAAATCAAATGGGTTGATAGATGACCAACCAGATTTTATGACTTTTTAGGGGAAGTTAAGCAATGTTGCAATCATGAAGCAAACCAATGGTTTGCTATAGTTGGGTGCCAAAATCAGCAAAATCATTCTAAAATGTAGTTACACGATTATGAGATGCTGCGTAAATGCAGCCCAGTTGCAAAGCTCCCAAAATTCAGTCATGTGACTATCAGAATTTTGAATCCAGATTTTAAGTAGGTCCGTTGTAACTTTGGTCACTGAGTGATCAATCATAAGTTGAGGACTATCTATATGTAGCACAATGTACACGATATTATTTCCTTTATACTGTATTTTTTTAATACTACAATTAAATTAATGCATAATCTCAGTGAACCATTAAGATTATTCTATTTTTTTTTAAAGGAAAAGTGAATGCTATTACTGAATAGCCAATCCTTAAGGGCTTGGTTATTTGCCCCACCAGAATTGGCTATTAGGTTGTTACTGAGGTATATTGGCCAAACCAATAGCCTGAAGCTTGTGGGAATTGGACTACAGCCAGATTTTTCCCGGCTATTTTTGAATATGATGACACCACCAAGATGCAGACATTGGTCTCACCCATTAGAGGAAGAGCGTCTAAGGCAGTGCACCGAAATGGCCTTTGAAAATTCTCACTCAAATTGGTGTGTATCAAAATTGAACAAAGCGTTTCTCCAAACTGATTAAGGGAAGAGAAAAATTCTCAAACAATTTGCAAGAAGTTTCAGAAGAATGTATTATTATTACTATTTTTTAGTGATGATGGAAGAATTGAGACTGAAAAAGTTCCAAGGGAGAAAGTCCTTAGTGACGTCTTTCTTCAGGATTTAAGTAAAGCCAGGGAGGCTTGCAGACCTCTGGAGAAATAACTTTGCAATTAAAAGCCAGGATCTTCATGCAGATCCTTCAAGAAGGCCTCTAAATAACAAAAATATCTCACTTATTCCATGAACATTTATCTGAAATGCCTTTCTCCTTTGACAGAAAAATTGAAAGCAATTTTTCCTTAAACGAGAACTACAGGAAATGTTCTTGGCCAGTCACTAGGTGAGGAAGCCACTGGTCTCCGAGGAAAAAACAAAAACAAAAAAACCCAGCCCAATCACGTAGTGCTGACACAGGATGATTTTCTAGCTCTTTCCTGAGCGATGCACCAACGAGATCGTTTCTCTCCAGCCAAACGCCGAGTCGTGCAGCTTGTAGATTCGGGCTTCTCCGGCGACGTCCGTGTAAGGAAATGCTGCAAGATGCTCCCATGCCATCCGCGGCTCCAGAGACCGAGGCTCCGGCGGTTGGAAGAGAGCAGCCCGGTTTTTTAAAAACGCGGCCGCAGGACCTAAGTCTTTCGAGCTCTCCGCCTTTTCTAGCCAAGGAACGGAAATTTGTCTTTCGTCCTCCACTTTCCGCCCCCTCCCCGGTGCTGGTGTCGCTGTTGCTGAAGGGAAGTGAAAATGAAATCGGCTTTTCTGAGAAATGATGAAAGCGGCCGAGCCCGCCAATGAGCAGCTGCGTCCAACTTCCGCACCTCTTTCACTCCAGCCCCCACCTCCCTTCTGCACAAACAGGCCTCGGAGAGGTGGAGGAGGGGGGGGGAGGAAGGGAAGGGAGGAGGAATTTCCAAGATTGGACTCCTCGCTCCTTCTCGCCTTGTTTTGCTTTCGATCTGGCGTCAGGACTAATCCCCGCCAAATGCAGAGGAGGAATAACTTTTAGTTTTGCTCCCGCGATTTATTCCGTCGCCGGTTTTCCTTTCCATTTTGCGTCTCTTGGCAACCGTGACAACCTTGAGGAATTACATAAATACCGGGAAACACATAATTGGTAAGGTAAATCCAGAACAATCTTTTGTTTTTACAACCAGAAACCAAGATCCAATAACCGTACACATTTCTTTCATCTGATTTTGCATTTACGCATATGCTGGACGCGTTTTATCCCAAATGCAAAGGCCGTGGCGGGTCATATGATGTTAGGCGCAGCTACTGACAAGAGAAAGCCGGGCTTTTAATTTCACTTTTGGATTTGCAGGGAAGAGAGGCACGGGAGGACGTGTTTCTCTTTCAGGCTCCGCAGTCGAAGACGGACCCGGGGTGGGGGCGGCTGGCGCGGCGGCGAAACATGTCAGTGGCAGAAACCCCAACCTCAGCGTCCCTTTGGTTTTCCTCTCGGCGTCGGCGGGCCGCGGAGAAACGGGCTTTCGGAGTGCGAAAAACTCTCGGAATGTCACAGCCGAGACGATTCTCGCCGAGCGAGGATTTCCTTCCCCCCCTGGCAATTTTGCTTGAACCCCAGCGGAGACGAGCTCTGGGGAGTTGCGGAAAGGGCGCTTGCTTTGCCATCCACTGGCCAGGCGGATAGTCTCTCTGGTAATCGGAAAACCGAGGTGAGCCCGCGAGCCAGCAGCCCTCTGCTTTGTTTTCCGTTTTCGGGCAGGGAAACGCGTGCAGGTCGGGGGAGACATTGGCCTTCTCGGTTCCCACCCTTGCAGGACTTTGGACCGGCTCTTGGCGAGATCAGGCCCTGTTGGGAGGCGCTGCCAAAAGCGTCCCGGGCGGGGAGAGTTTTTGCCCAATTTTTCTTGATGTTTGTGCTGCAAGAGAAAGGCGGACACGGAAGGAGTGGGGGCCATAAGTGTGCATCGCAGGAAAGGGCGCATTTTGCTGTCCCCCGAGGCACCGCGCCAGCTTTCGCTGCAGGCAACCGAGAGGAAGAACTCCGAGCGGAGCAGCCCTGCCGAGGGGCAGGGGTAAGACGGCAATTTTCTCCTAACAAGTCTTTGGTGCTTTGGGAGAACCAGGAGGGGCCGCTGTGTCAGCATAATGTCCCCCCCCCAAAAAAAAAAATACCCCGCGAAGGCGGCTGTTACACAAGCCAGCTGGGTCACTTCCTTTCCTCAGCGGCCGGGTCAAGTCGTGACGTAGATGCTCGTCTGGCCAATCGGGGAACGGATCCTCGGCGATAGAACGCCTCTCTTGACACTTTTACCGCTCGCGCGCTATGTTGGGTTCCAGGAAGCAGGGAATGGGAAAGGGCCCCAGGGTAACCCGACGACTCCCAGGCGCTGATCTGATGCTTTTCGAGTGGGAAGTGCGGAAGAGTCCTTACTAGCCTGATGCCCCCTGTGTTACATTTCAGGCTTCTTACGCTTTGAAAAAATATGGCTGGGAATGGTAGAGGTTGCCCTTCCAGGAAGGCTAAGGTTAAAGCCCGCACATTTGGGTACAGGTGCTAACTAGAACACAGTTAGATCAGGTGCACGGGCTTCGGGGAAGTCTGTTGTGCTTCAGTTCTTTCTGAATGCAGGTCCTTTAGAAATGGCTCTAAATGATTATGTAGTGTACTAGATCAAACTCTCATGCTGATTGAATTGATGTGGGGTATCTTTCACCATGCTTTAAGTATTGCACAGTTGTGAGGGTTAAGCCAGTTGTGAGAGCCAGTTTGGTTCAGTGGTTTAAGCATCAGATTAGAAAGCAGGAGTTTGTGAGTTTTAGTCCTGCCTTAGGCATGAAAGAAGGCCTTGTGGGGTTGCTGTTGTGGAGAAAATAAGAGGAAGGAGATGAATTAGATATGTTTGCCATCTTGAATTAGGTACCTCAAAAAGCAAAGCAGGGTTGGACCTGGTTTGTCCATGAATAGAAGACCACTAGGAAATGTCAGGCTAGATTGGAAAAAGATACCAGAAGAAGGGAATAGCAAATCTTACTGTTGCCCAGATAGAAGCTTTACATATCTTGAAACACACATGATGTTACCACAACTAAGCATTTTGGTGGGTTTTAGCTGCTAGTGATATGAATGGAAGCAGCCTTGGGCATGCCAACAGCACAATCCATGCAAATACTGTTTTCACTACTATACTTGAAATAAATATTTTTGAGTACTGACTGTACTGAGTCTAAAAATAGGTTACCCGTAGTTTTGTGCGTTTTGATTTTTGACATGAAACTGCAGTTAGCTTTGCAAGCAGCAATTAAAATCTAGTATTAATGTGTTTCCTTATTACCATACACTATACGTAAAACAAATAGATTAAAATGCATGGAACATTAAAGTTAATGTTCTATAATTATTTTTTCAATTCAATAAGATTTTCTTATGAATTGATGTGCATAAGAACAAAGCTAAATAATTTACCATATCTTTTTCTGGTTTCCAAATTGTATCTTGCAATGTGTGCCATTGCCTTTTTTGTGTAGAAAAGATTATTCAGTTGGAAGACACAATTGTTGGAAGATAAGGAACATTTATGGCTTCAGTCTAGAAAAAGTTCTAGTGTTTTATTGACGTCAGTAAGACAACTTGTGAAATAACTGTATAATGAAGTGAACACATCTGAAATTTGAAAACTGAAAAAGTTAAGATTTAATCTTCTGTTTGGAAGAAGACATATTACCTCCGGCATTATGGCAAGATATGCAGCTTTGTTTGTGTTTCTTAGATTTCATTAAGCATTTTTAAGTTATGTCCTTTCCTTAAATTCCTTTACTCCTTGTACATAAAGTTATTTATGTGCTATATGTGTGTATTCAAAAATGAAATAGAAGTATTTATAATTTTTAAACAGTACTAAGCTATGACTTTGTTTATACAGCTCTGGTATAAATATATATTTTAAATATAGAATGAATATATATTAGAATACTCTTAGGAAAATCTATAGCAAAAAAATAGCATTACATGACAAATATCTATAGTAATGCTATGATGAATCAAAATAGCATCTTGTTCCCCAATACAAGACTTATTTAGAGGATGTTCTATGTAAAAAAAATTAATTTCCAAGCTAAGCAATTTATCTTATTGATAAAAGTACAAATAATTGGCTGAACAAATGAGCTTTAAGTTCTGTAACTCTTACAAAATAGTAAAAAAATATTGAAAAAAACATCTTATACTTTTCTTTCTTAGATGATAATTAGGTTTCAAATTTATGGATACCAATGAATTAATACCAACACCTGGTTTGGTAAAACCAGATCTGCCTTATTTCCACCACTGGAAGAAATATTTCTCTTGCATTTGATGTTTGTTGGGGTTATAAATAGAAGGCAAGGTAGCAAAGGGGTGGTTTTCAGTCCATCTTAAAACATCTGTGGGAAATTCATTTTATGGGGAAGTTATCTCTCCCATTTAAAAAATGTTACTGATTTACTTTGGGTCAAACATCAGTTGAAAATAGCTTGATTTTTTTTTGCCTCTCTCACTTTAAGGATATTAGTGGTTTACTTTGAGTCACATTTAGTTTCCCATCAATGTGGACATGAAGTTCTGGATTTTACAGTTCTACTTGCCCTGTTTGATGTGGTAGATATCCCCTGCTATGTCAGCCTTTGTTGCTTTGGAGAGAACAAATCAAGTAGAGACCTTCAGAAGCCTAGCACAAATGTGTGGACAGTCTGTTACTTCTTCTCAAGCTTTTAGCTGAATGGCTTGCAGCAGAAGTCTTTATACTGCATTAGGAGAGAAAAGAAAAGCCACATTAAGTTTTTGTTGTGTTTTGAAGACCAAGCATGGAAACAGTGACAAGATTTCATGCCTTAAGGATGAAGCAAGACTCTGGCATCCACAAACTTCGTGTTGACTGACAAACTCAGCTAAAATGTGTGAGAATCTTTGCATGCTCTAGCAATTGATTAATGAATGCTTATTTTAATGTGATATTTCTATGTTCATCTGTATAAAATAAACATTCTTTATGGAAATGGATCTTGAAGTCTTTGCAGTGTAAATAAATTCATCTCTAGGGAGTGGCTAGAGTGTAAATCCTATACCTACTAAATGTGGATGCAGTTATTAAAGGTTCTATTGTTTTGGAAAAATCTGAGAACTGTGAGGTTATATAAAGTTTGGCATATTGAAAACAATGATTATTGTTTAAACAAACAAAACAAATGTGTTTCTATGTGTGAGTGAATCTTCTGAATCAAAGAAGGAAATGGAGTGGAATAAAAGTACATTCACTGTTTGTTGACCACATGAAGATATTTAGGCAATTTGATCTTGCTTATGGAGCATCAGGTTTTGCGGAACAGAATAGAAATTGCTCATAAATATAGAAACATAACCTTGCATTCACAGAACTTTCAGTGCCAATGATACTGAAGTACAATCACAAGTCACAATCCATTTGGAATGATTTTTCTTAATGAGACATATTTTATATTGGTTCCTACAATTTTAGAAAAAAATGTACTTTCAAAACTGCTTGGTAGTACAGGTGCAATAAATGCTTTAAGACCATGACCAGGACAGCAACCGACATAAATGAATGAGTCATTCTCTCCCATTAAAGCAAGAAAAAACATCCTGTCAACATATTGTTAATATTCTTTATAGCAAGTTATTCACAGCACTGAGAATCTGTTTGATGGAACAGTTAAGGCATCAGGCTAAAAACCCAGAGACAGAGTTCTAATCCTGCCCTAGGTACAAAGCAACTAGGTGGCATTGGGCCAGTCACTCTCTCAGCCCTATGAAATAGCCAATAGCAAATCACTTCTGGAAAAACCTTGCTGAGAAAACTGCTCGACTTAGGGCAGTCTCTAGTAATCACACACAATAAAATATATACATTTTCTCACCATCAACAACTTTCTAAGAAATGCCTTCTCTTCTAGTACAGAATTATTTTTAAAAGATACAGGGATCTATGTTTTCTGTTTAGCATATTTTTAATGTGAGTAGAATAAGTGACAGGACTATCTCATCCCTTTTTAGGAGGTGAGAGTTCTTTACAAAAAGGAAATAGATAGGTTCGCACCCCTAGAAAAACTTTTATAAGCGTGTCCAAAATTTGGATTCTGCATGTTTTACTGCCTCTGGTTTGAGTAGCAGATTTTATGTAATGTTGCAAATCAGTATTGATGAAGGGTGGCCTTCCACTTCTGTATCCATTATTTGGAAAAGCCCATCTCTAATTGCATGTAGAAAATAGGTCATTTTTCTATCATATTTAGGCAGTGTATAGCCAGTTTGCAGAATGAACATTGGGGATTGCCTGGACCCTTGCCATGAAAAGCATCACATATTCAAGGAGTTAGGGGCTCATTGACACTAAGAATGCAGTTTTTTCAGGAGATAGTTCTTTGCCTGAGTTTGCTATCTGTCTGGGAAAACTGTTTAAAAACTTTTTGTCTGAAACTAATCTTACAGGATGGATCCATGGTTCATTCCATCTTTCTTGATAGATTGTTCCCCTCCCCCCCACTTCATTTAGCGGTTGATTGTGGTTACAACAGCAATGAAAAACTTTATGACCACTCCATGCATGTATGACCTTTGCAGGTCTGTAAAGCAAATAAAGCTGAATAAGATCATAAGCACAGTTGCAGTTTCACTTAGCATCTGCTTCACTTAATAATAAATTGCCAGTTCTAATTCTGGTTGCTAAACAAAGACTATCTGAATAGAGATCAAATAAAAACTCTGAGACAAGCAGAAAGACAGAGAGGCCTTGAACCATTCCAAGGAAGCTCCTCTACATTTAAATACTGTAATTCTGCAGTATTTTCTATTTCTCAACAGACAGCTTTTATCTTAGTAAGGCTTAATGTCTTGTCTTCTGGGGTGTTGAGGGAAGGTACAGTGATGGAAAAAATTATTTGATCCCCTGCTGATTTTGTACGTTTGTCTACTGACAAAGAAATGATCAGTCTATAATTGTAATGGTAGGTTTATTTTAATAGTGAGAGACAGAATAACAACAACAACAACAAAATCTAGAAAAACACATTTCAAAAAAGTTATACATTTGATTTGCATTTTAATAAGTGAAATAAGTACTGTATTTGATCCTCTATCAATCAGCAAGATTTCTGGCTCCCAGGTGTCTTTTATACAGGTAATGAGCTGAGATTAGGAGCACTCTCTTAAAGGGAGTGCTCCTAATCTCAGCTTGTTACTTGTATAAAAGTCATCTGTCCACAGAAGCAATCAGATTCCAAACTCTCCACCATGGGCAAGACCAAAGAGCTGTCCAAGGATGTCAGGGACAAGATTGTAAACCTACACAGGCTGGAATGGGGTACAAGACTATCACCAAGCAGCTTGGTGAGAAGGTGACAACGTTGCGATTATTCGCAAATGGGAGAAACACAAAATAACTGTCAATCTCTCTTGGTCTGGAGCTCCATGCAAGATCTCACCTCGTGGAGTTTCAGTGATCATGAGAACGGTGAGGAATCAGCCCAGAACTACACGGGAGGATCTTGTCAATGATCTCAAGGCAGCTGGGACCATAGTCACCAAGAAAACAATTGGTAATACACTATGCCGTGAAGGACTGAAATCCTGCAGTGCCTGCAAGGTCCCCCTGTTCAAGAAGCACATGTACAGGCCTGTCTGAAGTTTGCCAATGAACATCTGAATGATTCAGAGGAGAACTGGGTGAAAGTGTTGTGGTCAGCTGAGACCAAAATCAAGCTCTTTGGCATCAACTTGCTGTGTTTGGAGGAGAAGAAATGCTGCCTGTGATCCCAAGAACACCATCCCCACCGTCAAACATGGAGGTGGAAACATTATGCTTTGGGGGTGTTTTTCTGCTAAGGGGACAGGACAATTTCACCGCATCAAAGGGACGATGGATGGGGCCACGTACTGTCAAATCTTGGGTGAGATCCTTCCTTCAGCCAGGGCATTGAAAATGGGTCGTGGATGGGTATTCCAGCATGACAATGACCCACAACACATGGCCAAGGCAACGAAGGAGTGGCTCAAGAAGAAGCACATTAAGGTCTTGGAGAGGTCTAGCCAGTCTCCAGACTGTAATCCCATAGAAAATGTGTGGAGGGAGCTGAAGGTTCGAGTTGCCAAACATCAGCCTCGAAACCTCAATGACTTGGAGAGGATCTGCAAAGAGGAGTGGGACAAAATCCCTCCTGAGATGTATGCAAATCTGGTGGCCAACTACAAGAAATGTCTGACCTCTGATTGCCAATAAGGATTTTGCCACCAAGTACTAAGTCATGTTTTGCGAAGGGGTCAAATACTTATTTCATTCATTAAAATGCAAATCAATTTATAACTTTTTTGAAATGCGTTTTTCTGGCTTTTTTGTTGTTAATTTGTCTCTCACTGTTAAAATAAACCTACCATTACAATTATAGACTGATCATTTCTTTGTCAGTGGGCAAATGTACAAAATCATCAGGGGATCAAATAATTTTTTTCCTTCACTGTATGTATTCCATTTTGCAGAATGCTGATGTCCATGTTTGGATGAAGCTTTAGAAAGAGTTGCTCATGTGTTGATCCACTGCTCATTTTAGGCCATCTGCTGCTTAAAGCTTAAAGCCCTTCCTTAATAAGAACTTGTGCTGGTCCAAAGAGAAAATTGTGCATTTTGTATTAGCATATTGGTCACCAATATCTCCAGCTAAATTCTGTTCAGCTGAGATTGCTATCAAGATATGTGATCTTATGGTCATTCTATAAATCTATAATTTTTTAAATTCCAGGTTACTATATTTTACTTCTATTTTTGGCTGTCTTTGGTGGTAAATAAAGCAATGATATTTGTGGTATGATATTTTTATTTATTATTAAATCCTTGTCCTATTCAGTGCCATCATTGTGGATGATGAACTTAAAATATTCTATTTTCTAAGTGGCATTTAAGAGTTACAGCTGGCACTTCTTGGTAAAACTTGAAAGTTATGAAAAAAATAGAGTAGTATAAACAGTAATTGCACAGAGTTTGTAGAGACGTGAAGGTCAAAGTCCACTGGTTTTATTTGAACATAGTCAAACTTGTAGGCATACGACTGTCTCTAAGTTCTTAAGCTTGAACTGTTTGGAAAATCTAATCAGCTAGCCTAACAATTGTGGCCCCCAAACCTCCCATCCTCCTACATTGTTACCCAGAATGTAAAATAATGTGTTTTTCAAACTTGGCAACTTTAAGTTGTGTGACTTCAATCTCCAGAATTCTCCAGCCAGCCATGACTATATGCTCAAGGTTTTATATTTTTAATAAATATTCCAAAGGGGATTGATGATTGATGACTCACAAAAGGGCAATAGAGCTACATGAAGGAGCTTAGAACACTGATTCCAAATCTTACAAAGCAATACTATAACTTAGTTGTCTGAACTAATTCTTACAATTTCTGAGAATGTGAGTTATTAGGTACATCAGAAATTCCCTACTCATTTGCAAAAGAGCAACAACAACAACAGCAAAAAATCAGCTTATGGATCAATTGGACTTAGGAGAATAGCTCCTTAATCAGGAGGAAGTACAGTGTACCTGATCGAGTAAAATTCCCCTTGGCAGCTTTGTATATTTGTTTATGGATGGGATGATTAATCTCTAAGTGTTGATTGTGTAATAAGTAATAATGGACTTTGGGCTTTTGTCTGCTTCAGAGTGGCATTGAGTAATTGTGTTCCCACTCTAATGGTTTACTTTTGAAAAGCAGTAGTCTGCACCCTCTCTGATTTTGTAGAACTTTACTTAATGCAGTGGAACAGATAGAAGGTTGGGGATCTAAAATCAGTTGTCAGCCCTTAACCCAAGCCTAAATATTTTGTGTCCTAATTATTTGAGCTGCTTAATTGAGATAGTAGCTTGGTTAAAACACAATCATTGCTAACTGCTTTGTCT